ATATATATATATATATATATATATATATATCTGTCTATCTATCTATATATATAGATGTAAATACACACATATATATATATATCTATATTAGCAGCAATGATAGGCAACATAGCATATTGGTCAACCATAAATTAATCGAATATAATCGGATCAGTTTACGATTTCTTAATATGAAAACGCGCGCGCTCGAACAATGTCGCGCGCCTCCTCCTCGTCAGCTGCCGAGGGCTCGAATTTTCGAGTTGTTCATGTTTTCATTATTCCAAGATGGCGGGACTCTCGTCACCATCCAGAGATCCATCTAACGCGCCGGCCAGTGATTGTACGTGTACGGATCAGAGAGAGAGAGCGAAGATTCACGATCCAGCCACGCCCCCCCCCCCGGCGGGGCGTACGGATCGGAGAGAGTGGAAATGCGTGATCCACCCCGCCCCCCACCCGCGTGCTGTGTGACCTTGGCTTGACCCTCGCGGGATGGCGCCCGATCGCCGCTATCCTAGGTGGCGCCGTCGTCATGATTACGAAGCGAGGGGTCGTCCCGTTGGTACGGCTCTTACGTGATTTGGAGAATCGAGGAGGGTGGATACGTTAGGGGGTCGTCTCCACGGTTAAATTCCTCGCGGCTATCAAGGCTCGTGGGGGGATTCGCTCTCTTGGCGTGGTTGTTTTTTCTTTTTTGCGTGCGTCTCTTTTTTGCGCGCCTCTCTCGTGTTTTATTGAGTCGGGGTGTTTATATCTCTGTGTTTATCGCGAGTTCTTATATTCGCATTTTAGCGCGCGTTCCTATTTGTCGGTTTATCGCGCGTTCCTATTCGTCGGTTTATCGCGCATTCCTATTCGTCGGGATATCGCGCGTTCCTATTTGTCGGTTTATCGCGCATTCCTATTCGTCGGGATATCGTGCGTTCCTATTCGTCGGGATATTGCGCGTTCCTATTTGTCAGTTTATCGTGCATTCCTATTCGTCGGTGAACACTGGTCCTAACAGAGACTGCACATAGCTTTGCACCTAGGCACCTGGCTATGCCCCTGTATATATATATATATATATATATATATATATATATATATAATAGAATGTGTATTA